GTTGATCCCCAGGCTTAAGGCATTAGTTGATCTCAAGGCAATCACTGTTGCATTGTCAACTGTGATTCCTTCTGCTGCCACTACGTATTGCCTAATACGAGAATTTAATTTTGATTTCTTCCCAAAATGAAGATTAATATCCAAGTCATAAAAATGTGTGGAACAATGTTAACAATATCCATTCTTCAGATATAATAAATATATGTTTGTGCTTTTAGTCCCCATCCCAAGCTGTAAAGCTATTTAAGGCCACTCAACTGTGTCTGTTCATGTCTGTCCTGTGTTGTGATGGTCTCTTCATTCTACCACCTTGTTTGGTACCTTCCCCTTTCCTCCCCACATTATCCTAATGGGAAAAAGAGCTGTAAGCTTTTTGTGCCAGGGCCTGCATTTTTGGGGGGCTGTTGCTTTCTAAGGTCCTGTCACAGTTATGGCGTTGTAAACACTCAGCAATATGTAACAACAAAAAACTGCCCTCTAGGAGTGTTTTTTCCATGAAAGCAAGTAATAACAGACTTCAGATTTATAATCTGAATTTCTGCAAACCTACTTAATGAATATTCCATGAAAGAAAGATTCATTAATAGCCCCTTGTTACAGAGTCAGAATGGGATCATTACATATCCTTTGCAATCTGTTCCCCGTTCCCTGACTTTTCCCTCCCTGTTGTGAAAGACCTGTAGCAATGTCGTCCTTCAAATGCCAAAGGATATTGTGGGGGAAATAAGTTGAAGCTATTACAGTACTTGTCTCAAAGAAAGATCAACAATATTTCCGATTGTGAAAAATACTTTGGAAATTTAATTTTTTTTAAAAAAATTGCCAGAAGAAACCAGAATTTATTTGGTTGAATGCTTCTGATGTTTATTTTGAGAACGTGCACACACTGTGTTGTACTTTTTCATTTAGATCTCAATCTTAAGATAAACAACTAATGAGAAAATGAAAGATCCTTGTATTTAAACACTAGCCTGGTCACTGCAGGTGACCAGGAATTCAATGAAGGCGAGTTGATGCAGGAGGATTCAGCATCCTGTATCTCCTTAGTAACAGCCTTTAGAAACCCAATAGGCTGTTATGGGACAGTACTGCAGCTGTCTATCAGTCCATAGCCAGTACCCAGTTATGGTGGTTGTTTGTTTGTAGGCTAGTAATTTTGGAAGGACCTGCTCACAAATGTGAAGTAAACCTGTGTGTTGACCATACCACTTATACAGCAGGGGGACAGCAAGAATTTCAGGTAGGGGCTCCTTGCCAATCTATACCCCGTCAATCTCGTTAGATTGCAACACCCATCAGCCCACACCAGCATAGCCAGTAATAAGGGATGATGGCAGCTGTGGTCCATCAACATCCGGACAGCTGTACTTTGCAGTACTCTGCTATATTATCATCACAAGACTATGCTTGTACTTCTAAATATAATTATTTTTAATGTGGAAGGATTTTAAAAAGTAAATTATTTATGTGGAAGCCTTTGATCGCCTGAACCCTAAGATGCACTTTCAAGGAATACAGTCCAGAGCCCAGTTTCCTTCTTCATCAGCTGAATATGAGAACTAAGCCTGAAACTCATCATCAAGAAGGCAAGTCTTCTCCAGGTGCTCTTAAACCTTCATACAGTATTCCCATGATAACAGGAGACTGTGGAAATGTCCATTCCATTTCAACCAAGAGTTAGAGCACTACATCTTAGAAAATTAAAAAACCAACCAAAAATCAATGTTCTTTTAATTTTGCTCTCAGGGTCTCATACACCTTTACAGGGTCCTTTTGCCACAGGAGTATTGAGAAGTAAGTGAATCTTGAAAGTGTACACTGAATGACTGACCACCCCACAATTTGGTCTTTGGGCACTGTTTACCATGTAGCTGACATGCTGGCTTCTATTAAAAGTTTTATCAGATGATGATAAATCAGTCTGTGGCAGGGAGTTCTGTGCAGTGAGAACGTGTTCAGCAATAAAAGGCTTACATAAAGGCTACCCATTTTTTTTTAGAAAAAGAGACATCTGGCAACCCAATTTCAAAGTCATCTTGAGTCAAATAGCCTCCCAAGATGGAGCTGTGTTAGCAGAACACTGACGAAGTTTTTTAATATCAGCTTGTGAAGCTTGTTCAAAAGGCTCTTCCTCAAAAACCACTTTGTGACCTATTCTTCCACGGCACATTTGCTGTTATACAAGGCCAGCTGTTGCCCTTGTTTGACTTCTCCTTTTGTACCCTCACACAAAAACAAAGAAGGAAAAAAAAATTCTCTGCAACTCTACCATCCCGATGCTTTTCTCGTGTTTCTCATTTTTTTAGAAATATGGGTTGAGAGCACAAACAAATAATTCTACAAAACATGCACAGTATACTACCAATTGAATCCCATTTAAGTATTTTGACCAGTTCCTAATCTATATTGTAGCATGCTGAACAGCATTTACTGGGTTTTTTCAGTACTGTGTTTATAAAGGAAGATACGTGAGAAATAAAGTGACAACCTTTATAAAAAAATCTTCAGTAATTTTTAATTGGTTTAAAACTATGCTAATAAACTGCTATAAGTTCAGTTCCTGGCCAGAAGCCTCTTTGTACTTGTGTAAGCTTCGTATAATTTGCTGCTGCTAATTGATTCTGGGTCGTGTCTGGTGACATGCCTGGTAAGACATCTCAATGTGCAACCAAGATGTACCCCAACAACATGCCAGCCTAGCCACAGTTAGCCATGGCATGTTAAACAAACCTGATTTGAAGGCTAGCAAGATTCTAGCCATTATCCCAATCTCTAGAAACGTTCATGAAACATTCATGACACCACCACACAGTTATTTCATCACTAACAACAAAACTGAAAATGGTGCGCATGGGGGGGGGAAATGCAAATACTGTATCTTCTTCTATAGCTTTTATGATGATCGGCTGCATTGCTCTAGGAGTTGCACAATTTCTGAGAGAGAGCAAAACACATCACAATTTCCAGCTCATCAGCATGTTGCAGAGCAGTCTCTGACCTTGCCTTGCAATTCCTGGTTTTGGACAGAGGGTTCCTCCCCCTTTGGGACACCAGGCCAGTGCAGTGTCCTTACTTAACCCTGTCAAGGCCAGCAGTTGGCTCAGAAGTCCCTCCTGTCTGCCAGTTGGCACACGGATCCAAAAATAAACTGTCCGATGCCGCAGCTGCCACCAAATAGTGCCTATTTTGTCTAACTGTCAGCATCCTTGCTTTCTCTTTGGCACTCTGGAATTTATTTATTTATTTATTTATTTATTTATTTAATTTATATCCCACCCAGAAATAACCCACCCGTTGAAAGAAAAAAAAAAGGGTCTGTCTAGTATCCCATTGGGAAGGTTGTAGCAGTGGAGACAACAGCTAAGGGCCTTGTCATGGTGCTGGTCCCAAAAAGGGAGTGTCCCCATTTGCAGTGGATTCCAGAGAAAGGGAAAGTGGATCCTTTGAGGATAGATTGCCATATTTTCATAGGAATTGGGGAGCAAACTTCTATATGGGGTCTTGTTTCCTCCATAATTCTGAGAAATTTGGGGCTAGGGAGTAATCTTTGTGATCCAGTGTTTATATACATATATTTAAATTTTACTATGCAGAAGCCATACATTTGCTTTAACAGATTCTCCTCAACCTCTTGCATGAATATGTGCAATTTGGAGAAGGCAGAAACTCTAGTGTTGCTACAAGGAAACCTCCAGGTCTGTGTGAGGGAGAAAGCAGGTCCAGAACAAAGACAACGGCCCATCTCCTACCTCTCCTGAAGATGTTAAATCCTACAGGAGTCTAAAACCATCCTGCTGAAGTGGATGCCTGTGGAGAAACATGAGCATTTGCTCATCAGCACAATGACTAACTCTATTATTGATTCTTAGGGCATCTTTCTCCCAAGCGTTTGTGAATTTGCAGAACGCTCGAAGAGCTTTTCGCTTAGTTCATTCTTCTAACCAACCTGTGCATGCATCCTTTTTATTCCCATTGCGCCTCTGGGGGGGTGGGGGGAAGAGACTCAGGCACTTAAATGCCTTTTGCTCATCGTAAAAGGTAAAATCTGAACACAGAGCCTTCCTCACAGCACCGTGGGGAAGACTTGTTCTCTTTTCTTGGCAAGACGGGCAGGTAATCCACTTAGCCTCGACTATTGCATTTGCAGCTTGATTCGGGAGTCGGGATGTCTCACCTGTTGAATTTCTACCTATGAGGAAAAGAAGTCGCCCCAGAAATAGGCAAGGGGGCCATTTCACGAGAGCTAACATTTCAGCTTTTTTTCTTTCTTTCTCTCCTCAGGCTTGGCTCGCGGCGCAGCTCTCTGGGAGCGAGCTCTTCAGGGGACCCGTTAAAGGGTTAATGTTCAGGAGAGGGAGGGGAGGGAGCCGCTCCTTCGTG